TTTCATGGCAAGCTACTGGATCGTAGCAACAGCAGCCCTGGGGCAGTCTGACAGAAGCAAGGCTGGCATTTTGTACTATCGGCCCTTCTGACAAGGCAGGTGAAGTGTCTTGCCCAAGGACACAAAGACAGAGGCAGGTGAAGCGGGAATCAAACCGACGGCCCACCGTCTGCAAAGCAAACTCCTTACATCGTCACCCCAAACGACATAACAATGCAAAGGTTAGCCATTGTATCGGTGCAACTGATCTTGAGTCTGCCATTTTGTTTTCCAAAGAATTGTGAGGCCTGGAAAGGAACCGATTCTCACCAATGCCATTGCACAAATCACAGCGTGGCACGCTACCCAAATCCTCAATCCAGTATCGGCAGACTGATGAGTCACAGCTGATCAAGTGAATGAATACAGCTTGCAGTTATCATTATAACTTTGAAATAAAAAAAAAAACTGAATTTGTTGAAATAAGAGGGCAATAAATTTAACATTATTTTCCCATAGTTTGTTCAGTTCCAGGTGTTTAATTTGCAGAAATCTCATCTTACTAGCAGTTAGCCTTCAACCACTCGAAGGTACCCTTCTTTTTTTTTTTTTTTTCTCAAACACTGAGATGGCCTCTTTCAAATCAGCCCCTACGATCCCTTTAAAGGCAGATTCTTCTGCAAAAAAAAGAGTGTACTTTGAAATAATGTCCATTTTCAATTAATGTAACTCCTCATTTACTCTGTACTTTGTTTTTAACAGTAAATATCTTTAATGTGCTTTATTTTAACTTTTGTCTTCTAAGTCTAATGGGGCTTGAAAAGGGACCTGAGAATATAACTTTAAAAGCTGGCTGTCACTGTAACGACACTTTGAGGTTATCACTTGTCAATCATACATTGCTGCAGCTGTACAAGAACGCGTCTGCATCTGAGATTGTCATTCACATACGCCGTTCACATAGTGTTATGAATGATGATTCCTATGGTTTGAGTGTGAATAATTTCACTTCATCACTACAAAGGAAATCGGACTACCACGCCACAGCTAGCGGACGGTTATGTTCGGTTTGGAGGAGACGTTTTACTCGTGAATGTACTTGAACTGTCTAAGCTGCTTCATACTCTACATCCAGGTTTTCCAGTTACTAACCAGCACTGTGTGTCGCCATAAACTGTCTGGCTTTTGATTGCTTTGAGGCTTTATTTATTTAAGTTTTTTTTTTTTTTTCTAAATTAGTTTAATGCTTTCACCTGTTTTTTTTTTTTAATGGTTTGAGATGATTGTACCCAAACAGACCACTCTAATTTCTAGAAACTCCTTTGATCATCTGCAAACACTTTGTCACTCTGATCCCTTGATTTGAATTTACATCCCATTAGCAAAGATTTGAGTTGCTAACTTGCTTATTTCACTTAAATTCTGTTAGTCGACACATAACATATTAAACAGGAAAGTGGTAACTGGACCGTGTTGAATGTATATGATTAATATTAAGCTTTCATTTTCAGTTATTTTTCATTAGGGGTTTGACTGAAAAGCTTTATTTTTTTTTTTAGTTTGGCTTGTGTTAAAAAGGTTAGTGCTCTTTTGTGTATTTTTATATGAGATTCTTTTGATTCATTCTTTGCTTTCACTTGTCTCAAATAATTGACGTTATGTTTTTTTCTTTTCCAATCACACATAACTGAAATGCTGCAGAACAATTATTTTTTCATGATGCCAGCTTGGTTTTATCAGCGCCAGGGAGTCTAATTTTAGAAATAAATGCATCCAGCTGATTTCATTTGTGAGTAAAAGGAGCCCCCTGCTGGACGTGTTTGGATCTCCATTCACCTTTTAATCTACAAGGGAAAACCGTCTTTGGGTTTAGGGGCTCTTGAATTCTCCTTCCTTCTACCTAATCTTGTCCTTTCATCTTTGTAATTTTCATATTTAGTTTATGGGCTCCCACCAGAGACAATTATGCTGATCTTGATGAGATTCAAATGAGACAGCACCAGCAGATTAATGTCATCTAAACTTTTTTCCGCGGCGTGCTGCTGAGAGCAACTCTCCCACTGCCTATTGAATTTAGCATGAATTGTTATTAATATGCTCCACTTTGCTACCTCCATTTATCCAAACAGTGTGATAAGAAGGGAGGACGTTAATGTCACAGCTCACTTCGCTACAAATTCAAGCTATTATCCATCACACCAAGTTAAGCTCAATTTATTCTAAATGGAAATTGTCTGATGGAGGCAAAATCAAAGGAGCAGCTTCCTTTGAGAATGTACCTAAACAAAAGCTAGCTAAATGATGTAAAATTCACTCAAGACAACGAACCTCAGATGTCCGCATATTTCATCATTGCTTGTGTTTAACTGTAATGTAAGGTGATCCTGTTGCCACGTGTAATCTAATCGTGTGAGCAAGCTTGTAATGAGGGGAAATACGGATCAGCCTCGCAGCGAGGACCCTCAAAATTAAAAGCTTCTACCTGCTGCTCTCACTGAAATGTCTTTTTACTCTCGCATAAGTTTGTGTTATGCTGTGTGACTTTAACGTTTGTTTTTTTTTTTGTTTTGTTTTTTTTAAGTCTTTGATCTTTTGAATAACTACCTCATTCTTGGTTTACCGCATGTCTACGTGATCAGGAAAAAAAAAAAAAAAAAAGCTAAAATATTGCCTTGGAAAAATGGGAAAACCCTCATGTGTTTATGCAAGAAACAATAGTTGGATTTATGTCGGTGTGAGTTCACTGACTAACAGAAAAAAAAAAAAAAGTAACTGTGGTTACCAGGTATCAGAGGTTGCATTTTACTCTTTGCAGAATCTTTTATTTACGTCTATTAATGCCATCTGCCTTTCTGTGTGCAATAAATGTTCTCAAGTGCTTTATATTTTGTGCTGGGTTTTATTTTTAGTAGTTCCTTCAAAAAGTCTATCTTATTAACACCTTTACGTGGCCTAATAGGTGTTTGAGACTCTTAAGTATTTCTTATCTGTGGTTTCCTTGAGGCATAAACAGAACAAAACCAAAGCCTTGAATGTTTTAAAATGTGTCTATTCTTTTACTGTTTTTTGAAATATTAGTTAAATAACATTTATTAGGCCTTAGTAGAGACTTGGTTGTTGTTGTATTAGAATTATTTAGTCTCTTTTGCAGTATTTGAATTAAAATAGACATTTAGACAAACTCATTTTAACACTGTTCATTTTTTCCTATGATCCAAGTTAAAACTTCTACATACCGCATAAGATTAAGTTTAATATTTGAAATTTGTGAGAAACATTCATGATAATGAGTCATTCAAATCAGATAAGTCATTTTCAAACACATTTTCCTCACAGAGACTCACAAGTCATATCCATGAAAAACAGGTAAACACTACCATAAATCAATATTGATACTCCATCTGTAAAGGCACCTTCAACAGTTCCACCACAATAATTATAGAATAGATTGTTTTCTTTATTTAAAAAAAATGTAGTGTTGCTTCTTACTGGCAACACAGGAAACAATATCCTTTTGCTACAAAAATAATTTAGGAGGGAACAAGTGAAGAAAAAACTCTCCGATGAGAAAACCTTTATGCCCCAGGTTAATGAAACAATTGGAAACTTGGATTTAAGGGTAGAATCAACCTAACCCTGAGGGAAGAGGACATAATACAGCCTATGCTGTGCCACAGTAACTGTGGAAATGAATCTTCCATGTCTTTTTAAAATTATTTCCATCTGTTATCCAATACTACAACACATTTGCAGATGTTTAAAGTGAAGCAGAATTTACATCTGATATTCAAATGCTATCAGAAGTGTTTTGAATGACAGATTTTGTTATGAATGGTCATTCACCATTGTAGTGCATTTAAGGAAGACTTGCAACAAAGTGCTTTTAAATCAACCATATGGTGCCAGTTTGTTAAGTCTCAAAGATAGTGTGCTCAGACAGTTTTTTTCCTGGCTTACATCTCCCAGTTGTTACAGCAATTTAAGTCATCGATTTATGAATTCAAACTGCAGTTTTACATTTGCTATTACCTCTTTTGCCATTAGTGGCTGTTGTTTTATTGCACCAATTCCTGAGTTTGTTCTATTATTATCACTTTTACTGGCCGTTTTTAGCTACAGCTAGGTTCTGGGCTGCCTTCATGCTTTCTACATATTTCTCATTCATGTAAATAAATAACATTATTGCAAGACTGAACACAACCGAAAAGAATAAGTTGTAAAACGTATGATGTCTGCTCTTTAAGATGGGTTCTCTGTTCCACATGTTTAAATCTGTTCATTCTATGAAGTGAACTGAAAGCCATAAAGCCACAAAACAACAAAACTGTAACATCACTGAAGAATGGGAAAACATCTAGCTATATAACCTACAGCTGTAGGTGAAGGTTGCTGTCAAGGCACACAAACACACACGCAGACGTGGACAAATGAGATAAATGACTATAGACACATACTCATTCAGTGTTAAAGTACATTTTGAAGCATCAATCAACCTTACTTGCATGATTTTGAACTGCTGCAGGAAATCAAAACACAATACACATAAACCTGAGTTATTATTCCTGAACTCACCATGCCAGTCCTAAAAACAGGACACAGGTGTGTGTGGTGTTACAAGGTGTAAGTCTATGTTATTATATGTACGGGGATGGGGAGAAATAAAGCCCACTTTGAGTGAAACAATTCACACATGTGTTTGCCTTTAAAAGAAAGGATTGCTGATGACACGTTTTTAATCATCTCAGAATTATTTGACTTTTATTTTATTTGTATTCTTCATTTGAAATGCATTTTGAGATACTTCTGAAAATGTAAAGATTATCAGTGTACCAAATAAATAATAATATTTTTTTAAAAAAAACTTCATGTGATATTTATTTGTTAGACTATTGCACATTTTTCTCACTGGCAAAATCTATTCTCATTCATGAACAGATGCATCCTGTTATTCTGTACAATGAAGCAAAGTCTCACATCAGGAGTTATTTTTTGTAGGAAATATAATTAACCACTTTTCACAATTTACAGATTTACAAAATGTACTAAAGTCAGTGTGACTTTATGAGATTTTCAGCCTCTCTCTGTTTTATTGGCTCATAAAGCAGTCAGGCAGGAAATCAGATGTTTGGACTTTTAGCAGATTCGCCTTTGATTGTCCTTTGACAAAGACGACATCATAAGAGAAAATGACGCAAAATCACAATAAGCTGATTGGCACTGGGGGATTATGTGAGCTGTTCTGTGTGAAACGGGAAGAGAAATCTCAAAACGAGGCACATAAAGAGAGGATGGGATAAAAGGAAAATGGGATAAACAATATATATTTTTTGATCATTTCATTTAGAGAGGTGAGCCCAGTTCTGGGTTTATTTAATCACCTCTCATCCAGAAAAGCAAAACGAAACAAGCCCTTTTTTTTTTTTCACAACTCAAAGATGATGACTCCTTTTGATGGAGATGTTATTGGCAGGAAACATGCTCACACAAAGAGGTTAATGTATCAAAGACACCACGGCGACGACGGCCCCTGGGAGGAGAGCGTGACAAATGCTGTGTGCTCGGGGAGATAATCCAGCAGTCTTTGTGTCTCTGCCAGAGTGGCTCTTAGTTCCCTGCAGGTCCCTTCACATCCAGAGACTGCTGGACAGCTCCTGCCTGGAGGTTGCAGGCTGACGGGTCACAGTAGCCGTTCAGGCCGGCTGGACCAGGAGGACCAGGCACGCCAGGCTGTCCTGGCACGCCAGGAGGTCCCCTCTGCCCATCCTGACCATCTTGACCATACCCAGGTTTCCCTGGCTCTCCTGTGATTACAAAATGGGCGAGTTAAAATTGCAGGTTCAACTTTAAAGAGATTATTAATTTGTATCGGATCCAAATGTTTATATACCATCAATTAATTTTTTTAATTTTTAATTTTTTGGTGTTTAGGATTCTATGGTGCTATGCAAAAGTATTCATACCCTTTAAACGTTTGACACAGCTCTACAAAATTCAATATGTTGTATTGAGTTTTAATGTGATAGACTATCACAAAGTAGTACAAATTTGTGAAGGATAAAAATATATCAGCTCTGACAATGGTATCAAACGATATTTGTCATCTTTTAAAATATCAGTATCGGTCCAATAGATAAAACTCATTGCCATTTGGTTCTGGAGGATCATATTATACATATAGTAGTGAAATATATATCACATATATTTTGGTGAATTTTGGTTGTAGGTCATAATATCAACTTCAATATCGGCCAACATTTTCACATTAATTCGTCCATAATTTCCAAATGTTTTCACTATCATTGTCTAAAAATGTAAACGGGTTGGTAACCCAACCCACCAAGAGAGCATCAAGCAGGGAGGCAGCCAAGAGGCTCCTGATAACTCTGGAGGATCTGTAGAGATCAAGACTCAGGACGACTAACATGAAAGTCATTATGAAAGCAAAACCAAACTTTTTCACCTATGTGGAAAATTCTATGTGGTTTCTAGTCCTCTGAAAAATTAAACAGTGGCAGCATCATTCCTCAGAAGGGAAAGAGAGACTGGTCAGCTTTGATGGGAAGATGGACACAACTAAATTTAGGACAGTCCTGAGTCCTGCTGAGGTAGCAGGTCTGTCCACCCTCTAGCAGGACAACGGCTCTATAATAGGAGCCAGAGCTGCAGTGGCATGATTTGGATCAAAGGATATTCATATGTTAATACTGGCCCAGTCAAAGTCCAGATCTAAATCTAATTAAGAATCTGAGGCAAGACGTCAGATCGACATTGAAAGATCCAACCTGACTGACCTGAACTACAACATCATAAATATATACCTACCTGGAAGCCCAGGAGGTCCTGACTGGCCTTTAGGTCCCCGTACAGTGGGCCCTCTGGAACCTCTATCTCCCATGTCACCTGCAGCAGATTAGTCAAAGCGGCGGTTATACAAGTTGTTCCACTGTCTCCTGTCACATTTGACCAAGTTTGACCCTTTTAAAAGAGAACACGGCCAAAACATTTAGTACCTTTGGGACCTTTATTTCCCATTGGCCCTGGTGGTCCTTTGAGTCCTGGAAGGCCCCTTGCTCCAGCTTGCCCTGGAAAACCGTTGTCTCCTGGGGGTCCCGGAGACCCAGGAGGGCCAGGTTTTCCCGGTAAACCTGCAATGCCAGACTCTGGCCTCCTTAGACTAGCAGCTAACTGAGCCAGCTGCTCTGTTTAGGTACAAAATAAAGAAGACGATTATCAGCATGAAAGCTCGTTCGCAGCTCGTAGCTATGAAGGGAACTCTAAGCACATAACATATCGTAATAAATAATGCAGGAAGCTCACATGGCTTATTTCTGACAGCTCAAAGCAATGCATGTTGCGGAGATTATGCAATGTCTCCTGCATGTCTTGAACACTGAATTTAAGTGAGGTGAAACCATGGTCATAATATCCCTTGAGCCTCTTCTGTTGTTCAGCTTTTTTTTTTTTTTAAAGAAAACAAAATAAGCATCACTAAGCTGAGCCAAACAGAAATAATACTCTTCATTTACAGCTATACAAAACAGAAACTTTAAGCCCACAGTGCCAACGAACTAAAATTAATCTCCTGTTGCTTTTTGTCTTTTTTTTTTATCTAGATTTCGGTTTTCTTGCGTCTGAAGGAGATTCATGCCGCAGAAGCAGCTCGGCTGCTCCTTTTCTTCAGATTTCCTTTCCAGGCTGACTTTGCTCGGAGCGGGGAAGAGCAGGTCTCCTGGAGGTGAGATTAATTTTTCAACGCGGCGGGTATAAAAAAGTCATGAGAGCAGGAGATGAGTTGTGAAGATGTAAGAGCAGAAGAATGAAGAGAGCAGATGTTGTGACTTCAGTGAAACATTTCGAAGGGCTCGGAGAAGGATGCTTTCATCCATCACATGAACAAAGGCTGAAGCTTATTTCATGTTTTTGTTATAGGACCCTCCGGTTTTTTTTTAACCACAGACCATCCAGCGACAGCCCTGATCAATGAAACGACACTTTAAGGTGGTAATGAGAAACATTACAGCCATGAAATGGGACACAAGGGAATAATAAATGGGGTCAAAAGCTTTGCTTTTCCTTTCTTTTCTTCTCTTACCTTGCATAACTCGCATGCAGACTTGCTTGATGTGCTGATCGCTGGGCTCCTTGCCCTATAAATGAAAAAATATATATATATATTGGAATGGCTTTCATCTCAGTGCCTGAGACGCAGACTCCATGATGCCGTTCGCTTTAGCTGAAAGACTAAACGGGTGAAGAAAATTAAATCTATTTCTCATTAATAAAAGAAAAGGGCTTCTTTTTGTCCCTGTGTCCGAATCAGAAACGTTGAAAACAAAAACACTTCACAGATTTTATATAGCATTCAGGGGGTATGCAGGGTTTTTTTTTGTTTGTTTGTTTTGTTTCGGCTGCAGGCAAGTAAAGCCAAACACGAGACGACTCACTTTAAACAAAGTTTGATATAATCCCTGTTGTTTCAAACTACCTGACTGTATGTGCTTAGAATTTGCCCCTGTCCTTTTCCATATGAGATAAACCCATCGCTTCTATCCCAAAGCTTTATTCCTCGTTTTATATTCCAGTGAAGGATGAAAGTGGAGCTATAGGAGCGATGACTCCCAAACACTGTTCATCACGTCACAGGCCCTTTGCAGAAGGTGCCACAGTTCCAATTTTTCGTGAGTCATTGAGGAGGCCGGGACAATTCTTCATTGTATTGTGCTGTATGTTCACCTCTTTGCTCTTTTTCTGGTTTCAATTTATGCTTGACCTGCTGATTCAAACTTAATTTAATTTGTGTTAAACTCAAAAAAGTGTTCATTGATGTTTTTTTTTTTTTATAGACTGGAAATGGTGGAGCTTCTTAGATGTGATGCATTTAATGGACAGGGAACAGCAGTAGCTTAAAACTAGTTTAATGGAGCTTCACTGGAGGCAAACAGTGCCATATTTCCTATGAAGCTGCACTATAAACGTCTTTGGGTATCTGTAAGTCTCATTTCACTGTAGGCTCATTTGTTGAGGCCTTTAAAAGTAATTAAGGGTTTAAGATTTTTTTTTTTTTAATTAATGCTCATTAAGATTTTCTGTGAAAAGTAAAAGTAGCTTTAGGTAACAAGTGGTGATACAAATTGTGGTTTTCTTAACTCTTGCCTTGTGAGCAAATGTAATAAAAAGTGATGCATTTATCAGCTGTTCTATAAATCACCCTTATCTGGAAATCAACCTGTGACATCTTAATATTAAGTTTAAAAAACCCGGGTTAAAAAAAAAAAAAAAAAAAAAAAAAAAAAAAAAAAACCATCATTAAATCCAAAAATTGATTCTACGGAGGAAAATTCCTTGTTTCATCCTTCACATTTACTGCCACCCTTAGATGCATAGAACGCCTTAAAAATGTACATTTCATTGAAATATCGTAATGCAACACAGGAAACTAGCTTTGAAGATTTTCTTTTTACGCAATCAGTCCTCATCACAATTCTAGTTTTTCAGGTGAAGTAACAATTATCTTGAAGCTACTTTCTACTTTTGAAGATCAGTTCACACCTGACCTGCTCAGACGGTAAGTTTTTGTGTCTTTCCTATTTCAAGAAATGAAGCATATTTATAGTTTAATTCAGAATCAGAAAAGCAATGAGTAAGAATAAAACTCAGACATCCTCCAGGCTTCAAAAATCTGATCTTTGACACTTCTCTGAGGGTGGAGGGGGGACATCCTCATGTTTATAGGTGTTATATTTTCTGAATTACTTGTGTTTTCTGTTTCTGACCTACCGCAGGCCCCTGAGACCCTCGGACCCCCCGAGGACCTCTGTTCCCCTGCATGCCTCGTGGTCCAGGTGTGCCAGGGGGGCCCTCGATGCCAGGCTGGCCTCGACTTCCCTCAGGACCCCTTTTGCCAGGTTCACCAGGAATACCAGCCTGTGAGTAAATCATTTAATCACCACACAAATATTAAAAAACTGCTCAACTTTATTGGCATCTATAGAAACAGGGACCCACCTCTCCTTTTGGTCCAGATTCCCCAGCATCTCCCTGTGACATCATTGAAACTTAATAATGTGCTCTGGTGCAACCAAAAAAAAAAAAAAACATTCTGATTGTTGTTTGCAGACAGGTAAGAACTTACAAGTTCCCCTAGCTCTCCAGGATTTCCCTCATCACCTTGAGCCCCCTGTCAAAGTAAAGGCTGTGTATTAATTTATGTAAAGCTCGAACACTTTGTTGTTGGCATTGATGTGTTTTTTTGTTTTTTTTTGTACTTGTTCTCCTTTGGGTCCTGCTTCTCCACGCTCACCCTGTAATTAACACATTGAAGGGGTTACCCAGTCAATCCAGAATGCAAAAGTGAAAATTCAAAACATAAGGCTTTGTTTATGTTTATATATGTCGCGATTCGCTGACTGGTGTTATACAGCTGCTCTTTAATGATTATGTCCTCGTTTCTTACCCTTTCTCCCTTCACTCCAGGCAGGCCTGGGGGCCCTGGGAGACCAGGAAGACCAGGATCACCTTTTGGTCCCTGTAATTAAAAAAAAAAAAAATCTAATGAACAGAATGACATCAGCAGGATTTGAAATATTGCAATCAAAGGGTAAAACAAAAGGCTAGATTATTACGATGAACCATCATTTGAACGTAAGGGTGAAGTTTGCTTTGTGTCAGTTACATGAGCGCAGGGTGAACGTTATTTTAAACTATAAGATCAGGATTTTCTCAGGTATGTTTCTGTGTGCCGCTCTGCCTTTGATCACCGACCAACAGAGGAATGCAGAGGAGACAGAGAGCTCTTTCAGCCTGCTGCTTAGTCTCCCCTTACTGTGAAAATAGACCCCATGTGAGATCCAGTCTTGGAGTATTCTCCTAGAAATTCCTGAGAAACAATGAGCTGCCCGAAAGACTCCCGACGTTTTCCTCTTGTAAACTTCCTTCATTTAAGGTATCAGGAATGTGTGAGATGTGTCACAGTGTTACGAGTCTTTCTATGGTTTTTCTGTAACATCAGTTATTGTATGGTCCCTTTTGCTGAAGGATGCTGAATTATTCAAGATAAAGCTACATATATACACATTAAGCTAATATGTAATTTATTACATTTCATCAATCTAGATATGTATTCATGTTCTTCAGTTTGTGTTTTATGACTCACCCTTGCACCTGGCTTGCCAGCTGGACCTACAGGACCTTGCTCTCCAGGATTGCCCTAAGAGCAAAACGAAAACACAATGAAGAGGTCAGGAGAAGTTAAGTTCAATGCATGAGAAAATAAAAAATAAAAAAATCTGACGTATTAGCTCCACTCCATTCTGTTTTACTACAGCCAGGTCAAAATGAAATCCAGTAATACGTCCAAAGATTTGGCTGTATTTTTTGTCCCACTTCAACTTTTCAGATAATCAAACATTAAAACATTTTAGACCTTGATCACCAGAGCAGATAACCCAGAGGATGTATTTTCCTAATAACGATTACTCTTACATCACTGTGGAGGATCTTTGGCCCGTTACTGTTTGTTGATTTGTTTCTGTTCGGTCGCATCAGATGCCTTTGAACGCGAACATTTTTTAAGGTCTGGCCACAGATTTTCAGTTAAATTTTTAGTGGATACTTTGAGTTGCTCACTCAGAGATGGACTTCCTGAAGAAGACTGTTCCTCAGCACAGCCTAATTCAACATGCAAGTGTGACAAATAAAACAGCAAGTAGGCAAAAAGTTTTCGGTCCAAAGAAGCCCAGCTAATTTCATCAAGTCCTTGACTAAATGCTTGAAGTTGAATCAGGAAGAAACACTCACAGGCTCACCGATGGGTCCGATGGGTCCCACTTCTCCCTGTTCTCCCCTTTCACCCTGTGGCGTAACAGTAAAATGATGCAAAAAAGACTCTAACCATGCTGAAGTTTCAGAATGTTTCTGCTCACACTTACTTGTTTTCCAGCTGATCCCAATGACCCAGGAAACCCAGGCTTCCCAGCATCTCCCTGATTGGAAATAAATAAATCAGCTTTCATGTTTTTGATGACCAAAAAAAAAAAAACAATTATTGCTATTAATTGATAGAGCAATTAACCTTTGGGCCACTCAACCCTTTTGGTCCAGGTGTTCCAGGCAAACCCTGACAACAAAAAGCATGTTGTGAAATTTTTCAAAATGTAATTTTAACCTAACAAGAGAGACAAATAGTATATCACGGAACAGATGACATTAAATGAAAACCAACCTATGTTTGGTGCCTCTCTTGGCCTTCACAATGTTTTGTAAATGATTTGCAGTAGATTATATTAAATGGATTTGGAGTAAAGGGGGTTCCAAACAAATGTACACAATTAGTTTGTGTTAGTAGAACACATAATATCCTAGTAAAAAAGAATTACATTTCACTGCTTTTGCAAAGGGATGGAAATTAAAATCATTCATAAGGTTGTTTATGTCAGCTATGTTATAAATCGATAGCCATTATTTCCTTGTATCAGACAAATCAAAAGGCACTACATATTTTTTTTTCTGTATCTTCTCAGAGGCTTGGCTCTGAAACCTACGCTGTTCAAAAATGTAAGATGCAAAAGCATTTATTAGCGAGTTTCAAGTCACTCAAAGGCAGGAGGCAAACTGAGTCCTGCTGTGCAGAAGCCATGAGCTTCGATGCTTTAAAGTGCACCGAAAAAGTTCACTGAGTTTCAGTCCAATTACAGTCAGCCACAACAGTTTGAGGTCAAGGGTCAAACTCACAGGAAGCCCCTGAAGTCCAATCTCTCCAGGAACGCCCGGCCTGCCGATGTTTCCCTGCAGCGAAACATGGAGGGGGAAAAAAAGTCTCAGCTGCCTCAGCTTCTGAATGTTAAATAAAGTTCTAAGCAATGCCTTCATGTGAATGACTGAGGCATGTAAAATGATCAGTGAAACAGCGCAAATCACTCTCCACCTTTGCACCCGGCAGCCCAGGAATGCCATCACGGCCGTCAACACCGGGTAATCCCTGAGTGTAAAGAGAATACATTAAAATATGCGTCACTTAGGACAATGTATCTGAGACTAGTGAAGGATTATTCAGCAATGATCAGAGACTTACAGCTTCTCCTTTTGGACCTGGAAGCCCTGTGATCCCCCGTGGCCCTAAAGCACCCTAAATGACAAACAGCACCCCGGTTTCCAGAACAATCTTATACCTCTGATTTATTTGTGTCTGCGATGTCAAGATTTACCCACTAACCATTTCACCTTTAATCCCAGGTTCCCCCATCACTCCTCTTTGACCCCTGTCTCCCTGAAATAAGAGGTCAAAACGTGTAATACACAGCTGACACACGCGTACATAGACGTGTTCTGACTGACGGGCTTACAGTCGCCCCCGCAACTCCCTGTGGACCTGGATCTCCGTCAGGACCTCGAGCTCCCTGCGGCAAAACAACGATTTATTTTTTTTTTAATAAATGAAGGTAATTGTGTAATTAGAAGTAATTAGGAAAGTTGACGAGCACAACTAGCCTAATTGTAATTCAAAAGACTTACTATTTCCCCCTTGGGGCCCATCATTCCCGTGGCTCCACGTATTCCCTGTGGGCCCTAAAATAACAGTTGGATCAAACAGGAGCGTCCGTAGGAAGAGGATGAGATTAAACTCTGATTCCAAAAGTAAATACCACCTAATGTCATGTAATAGAGACATTATCTCACCGCTGGACCCTGGGACCCAACGTCTCCTGGACCTCCCTGGTCTCCTTCCTCACCCTGAGCAAACAAAAGAAGGAGAAAAGAAAAAAAACGACAGACGAAAAACAGAATGACCTTAATGAGACGAAACGATGAGCAGCAGCCCTAACTAAGAGTGAATCCTCTAGTCTGATTAGGACTGACGTTCCATCAGTCTCTTTTCCAGCGAGATGCTGACCTTATTTGCTGTGTGTTAATTACACAGAGAGGCTGCCACTCTAAATAAAGGTCTCATGCACATTTCCTAGTGGATTGCATGAGTGAAAAAGCATTTAAATACAAATTGTGAGACAAATTGTTCCAAAGGAAAATAATCATTACAAATAATTCCCTATTCTGCATCAGAGGTAACAAGAGGACGCTCTTACATTTGGAGAAACTGTGCTTCATGCCCGGAGTTTTCCTAATTTTTTCTTGTTATGAACTTTTTTTTTTTTTTTTTGCTTTTATAAGCAAATGTTGGGATGAGAGGGATGTCTAAAAAATGAAGAAAAAAAATTGTACTAGTTAAAATTCACTAGTACAAATTTTGAATTTGTACTAGTGAGGGGAGTGAATTTTAACTAGTACAAATCAAACTATCATTAAAGGGTTGCCAGCATAAAATGTTAGAGACTGTTGTCCTATGTTTTTACATATTGACCCTTGTGTTTCTTGGGGGTGAGGTGTCCTATCTGTTTCTGTAGTGTAGGATAGAATAAAAGGTAAACAGCTCTAAAGGCCTTAAATAACAACTGTATACAGAAACACATAGAAATGATTGGAAGCAGCGCTTAATTTTTTAGCATATACTTAATATGTTGTTAACAATACTGCTGAGAACATCCTTTATTTTATTTATTTTTTCCTATTTTACTCACAAAAAAAATTACAATGAGGCAGACAACTTGAATAAATACAAAAATCAAGGTTTCAAATGATGGTTCCACTTATTAATAAGAAAAAAGAAAATATGTAAAAGATAAATTGCACCTGTTGTAGGATTATGAATTTACTGTAATAACTGTATTTGAATTGAATAATAATAATAATAATAATAATAATAATAATAATAATAATAATAATAATAATAATAATAATAATAATAGTAATTATAAAGCTTAATTTAATAAGCAAAATTCAACGGAGCTTATTCATCTCTATCAGGTGTAATTACAGCCAGACCTAAAAGACAGAATCACTTCAGCAGGATCTGTCTGGCAACATAAAGTTGACTAATAGAGCTAAAAAAAAAAAACAACACTTGACGCTCAAAAACAAGTTATATAATAGATGAGAAGCAAAGTCTCTGGCATTTATTAGTCTGCAAAGCATAAAGAAGCAGTTTCTAAACATTTGGGACACCAGCAAAGCACAGTGAGACCCATTAAATACAAACAGAAGAAAACATAAAACAGTGGTGACCCTTTCCAGGAGAGCGCAAATGGCCAATCAAGTAGACTCAAAAATAACCCAGCACCACAACAGTTAAAACTGTTATTATTTTGAGTTGTATTTTAGTGAAACATGGGCAATTTTCTGTTCTGTACTGTTCTTTTCTATTCGTGAAATAGGTTATTTCAGAACCCCACCAAACTCCTAAAAGTTTCGGAGTGACCTAGTGGATAGTTTGCTATTCTGAAACCTTAAACACTGAGTTTAATTGAGGTAAGTGTGGCCAGCAGCAGTGCTTTAGAGCTTGCTCTGGTTTCCATTTGTGTGCTCCAGCAAGACTTGCTGCTGTTCTATGGATCATTGTCCTGCTTCAGAACTGAAGTCCAGTCAAGCTGAAGGTCATGAACTGACGGTCACAGAGTGTCCTTCAGGATTTTCTAGTAGGGAGCAGAATTCATTGGTGCATCAAGGAAGACATGTTGTGCAGGGCCTGAAGCAGCAATCCAGACTTAGACCTTCACACTACTTTCTACATGTTTGACAGTTAGTATGAAGATCTTTTTTTTCTGAAATGCTGTGTTAGCTATGCACCAGATCTATGAACACTTCTCATAGTCCACACATTTTTTTCGCATGGAAAAAATGTTACATGGGGGTAATAATGATCTATTATCATTATTTCTAATGATAATAAAGGTATTATCATTAGAAATACTTTTAGCCATTGTGAGATGGGTCTTTGTGTTCTTTTAGGCAAACTGTTTTGTTTTTTTTTTTTGTTTTTTTTTGGTTGTTACTAGGTCAACACTTCCATGGGCCTCCATGGAAGTGTTGACCTAGTAAAACTTTCATGGAGGGCATATTTGCACAGATGTTTTCTTACTTTTGAACCACAAACACTGGCCTATACTAAGGCAGGTGAAGCCCAGTTGAGATTCAGTTCTGGGTTCTTTCTGACCTCTTGCATGACCCTTCGATGCACAATTGGAGATGGGCCACTTCTCGCTGTGGTCCGCTGGAGCTCCAAAGCCAAAATCATTGCATTTTACATTTACCCCGGTCATTAACTTGGCATATTAAAATGTATTTAATGATCTGAAACATTTATTTGTGACAAAAACAGGGCAATCAGTTTTTCACAACACAGTAAATACATCTCAGAATGATTCTCCATTTGAATAATATACCTTCACACTTAAACAGCTGGTGTGTTTTCTTGGTCGTTGTACATATTCAGCATATCTTCGTATATGTGACAGCAAGTATGAAAATTGCATCTGAGAGGGAGAGTCGACTGGCAGTAAATTATATTCCAGAGCATGAGGGAGATAACAGAAGATGGGACCAGACTCATTTCCATTTATATGGTGCACAGGAACATTAACAGGTGGGCATTGCCATGCTTGCACATCATTTCAAATAAGTTATCCTTTCCGAACTGCAAAAAGTCGGAGGAATTACACAAATGCTCGCATCCCTGCTGTTTTAAACAAAGCAGCATCTGTAAAAGGTTTCTAAAAAGTAACAAACAGGTTTTTAATGCGTTTTTTTTTTTTTATGTGGAGCAATGCTAACTGAGAATTAGTATTTTCTAGTGGTAAAAGATGCAATTTTGATTAATATGTAAAAACAGTGAGAAATTTCAACCTTTTCTTTGCTGTAAACGTTTTTTGTTTTTTTTACCTTGTGTCCCTGTTTCCCAGGTTCTCCTGCTTCACCTTTCACGCCTTTGTGACCCTGGAAACATCCCAGAAAGCTCAATTAAACTAGTAATGATTTTTGATGGATTGATTTTAGAAGAGAAGCAAACAACCTCACCTTCATACCAGGTAGACCAGGATGCCCAGGGGTGCCAGGTGGACAAGAGTTTGGACACTAAATACCAAAATAAGTCAGTCAGTCGTTACGCCAGGCACCATGTGCAAAGAAATTACCTCCACATGTTTTTGTATGAAACAATTCCCTACCAGGTCGGAAGTACCAAGCATCCCAGCTGCACCCTGAAAGTGGGAAAAATAAAGTTATTAACGTTGACACTATTAACATAATCAGCGCATCATAAACGACCAGATGCCATCCAGCAGTGGGACACCAGCTGGGACTTAAATGAGTTTCAACATATGTATTCATGAAACACTGATATCTTATGATGATGGAAACAGATCACAAATGTCAAATAAAGACAAGAGACAAAAGGGACCTTGCTTATTTGTGAGTTTTTACTGAACACATTCAGCTTCTTGCTGCTGCAGAGACACAATCTGCCATAATGAGAAACTAACTGATGCATCTTCCCTTAAAAAAAATGAAACTACTCTAAATAAATTCAAACATCCTACAAAAGTTCATAGTAATTCAACTCATATAATACATATGTTTATTACACTCAGACTAATGTAATTTAGTTTTTTATGACCAGTTTTGACAATTATGGCTTAGAGCTAGTAAAAACTCCATATTCAGTTTCTCAGCAAAAATACATTTAAACACCAAAGCATTTTCCTCGAGATTAGTATGCTCATGTGCTATGAGCTTAATACTCGAGTTATTCCTCCATGAATAACTCCACCGATTCGGTGTGGCAGGGATCAGGGTGATCATCTTGTGGCAAGCATCAGTTTATCTGGTTTGTTAGGTCCGGTGTCTCTGTTATTGTGCTCCAGGTGAGTTTGCCAACAAATGTAGCCATGGTAAAAAGTAGCCATGGTAACACCATGGCTACTTTTGGCAGAGTAGGCAGAAGCCAAGTCCTACCGGCTTCTGCTGGCAAGCCTTTTCTCATAAAGCGTGCCAGCAGAGAGAAGTATGAAGGGCTCTCTTACATTTGTTGTCTTTGGACTTGATAAAACAGAGAACACAAGCAGATGGCCCCCCTAAATGTTCACTGACTGTGAAAACTTCACCTCGCACAGGCAGCTTTAATTATGTGCCTCTCCACTCTATATAAATAAATTTACTTTTACAATAAAGGTGCTGTTCACCTTTATTATAAAAAAAATCTCTATTATTGTATGTGGGATAATTACCAAGACAGAAGCCTCTCAACAGTGTTTCACATATTATGTATGCAAAAACATAACATTTCTATACTCAGACTACTCCTTATTGGTCTTATGTATAATTTCAATATTTTGTGAAACTGAGTTTTTGGTTTTGATTAGTTGCAAATCATAATCCTGTAATAATAACTTGAAATACTTTACTGTGTTTAGTGAATCAAAATAGGATGCAGGTCTCTCTCTCTTTTTTTTTTTTTTTTTTTTTTTTTTTTTTTTTTTAATTTTTTTATTTTATTTAATTTTTTGATGTTTTTTTTTTTTTTTGGGTTCCCTTTGGGTATGGAAA